CGATCGGTCGATCGACGGGAAAGCTTTACATTTCGTTTCGATTCGCGTTGGAATATTTTCGAACAGAGTTTTTTCCATCTTCCCGGTCGAATCGGCCGCGTTATCCGCTGGCATGTTTTTTTGATTACAATTCATTCCCCGTGTTTACCCTGCGCCCGCCTGGTACAGGCTCGTGCAGACAAACCGCTGCTTCAGGCACTGACTGTTACTAATTAAGGGCGGTTTCAGTACGCGTGTTAATTCTTAATTAATATCTTTGTCGCCTCCTCCGACGTGGCAGCCCTCGGCACTCATTTCTCGCTCGTTCGCCCTCTCTCCTGTCCTTTTCTCGTGCCCCCCGCTTTTTTTTTCGCTCTCCTGCTTCAACCAGCCAAACTCTACCGCCGTGTTCTCGCTTTTATTTCCGTCTCATCCTCGCCGTCCTCCTCAGCCCGCTACCAACCCACCCTCTTCGTTGCTCTTTAGCGACACCCCAGCACACCACCGTCCACCCACTTCTCTTCTGGAGTCTCTCGAATGAAAGGAGATGTATGGGAACACACGCGCATCTCCAGCCACTATGATAGGTACAATCGGTCACGAGTGACGAAAGAAGAAGCAAGAAAGGATTCCGGCGGAGGAAGAGCCGTTCCTCCGATTTACCACTCGTCCGTTTCAACCGAGAGAATCTCTTTCGCGATGAGTCGAGGAATCGAGCTGGTTACCCCCTTTGTCTCCGTTAACCCTCGTGCCACTCTTTGCTTCTCTTCTCCCACCTCCGTACGATCTGTCAAATTGTTTCCATCTATTTAACGTTTTCATTGACCTCAGGACCAGTGGTTCTTAACCTCTCCACGCTCCCCGCACAATTTAGAGAAGGATCCATAATCCTTTTGCACTCCTGGCAGGTTTGAGAAGTAGAAGTTTCCGCTTTATCGCGTTGACCACCACGAAACGTTGCGTAAACTCTCGTTTACATCAGTCGACGAGAACCGTTTTTGGAACTGATTTGCGCTTGGAAAACTTTTTTCCGTTCGACGAGGGATTTCACCGTCAAATACTCTTCAATCGTAATAACCAGCGGGGACCCTCGAGATCTCGAGGCGAGGCTCGCGCGCACTATTTTGCGAATAGTCAACAACGTTCGGCTTGGCATTGAGCGTTGGCGCTCTTTGAAACGGAGCCCTTTACGACGAAAATGTCTATAAAGCTCCCGGCTCGAGCGGCTGTATTAATCAACCACCGGTTCCTTCCTGCTTCAATGCACTTTGGTTTTCACGGCGGAAAAATACTCTCTTGGTTTTCCCTACCTTACTCTTTAGCTTCGATTTCCATCCCCCTTTTATTTGTTGTTCCCTCGTCTTTTCTCGTAATCATTTCTTTCCGTCTAGCGCAGAGTTTGACGGAGCAAATTATATATGCCGTATATGGCCTCTTGTGCGGACTTTGAACTTAGGATAATTGCGCACACTGATAATTTCTCCTAAAACCTGTTTGTTATTAGTGCAAATTAAATTTAGAATTGTCCGTGCAACAATAGTCTCGAGTGTTAGGTGAAAGGCTAAAGGAATTCAGAATGAGACAAATTCATGTGAGATAATTAAATTAATTAGTCCGATCGATCGAAGGAATGCTGGTAAGCGGGTACCTAGTGTACGGGGGTTGGTAAACGAGTGGAGGCAATATGCCCTAACGCAGAGCGATTTAAGGCGTTTACAGGAGTCAAGCTTTCCTCCTCTTTCCACCGTCTCCTTCGATTTCGTGATTCCCTCTTGCTCCGTTGACGACAGGCTTGTCTCGGGCGCTTCTTTTCACGGAGGAAGTTTCCAACGGCTGGTGAAATCGATACCGCGGGAAATGAGATGATTGGATCGGACACTGGGGGATACCTCGTAAAGGCTAAAGGCTGAAGGATTCAGAAGGCCACGGGAGACGCGACCACGTCGATGACTGAGGGTTTTTATATCTACGCTAGTGGCCTCCTTGGTTTTATAGAAAGAAGAACCACCTAAATACTGATTCTTTTATCAAATTATTAAGGACTTGTTTGTTCTCTGATATCTGATGAACATTGGAAAGCACAGGTGCCGTATTCGTGTATCTATTATCATTATATATTAACAGACGTTATCGATTGCCACCGAGGAGGGCCTGGATTGTAAGCTCGAAAGCTTTGCAAGTGAAAATAAAGACATCTGATACCAGCTATGACGCCTCCTAATGAGAAGTCATTGAAACGAGCAAGTCGTCGATAAGTCAACAGTATTTGGACACCTGCACGTGTTAACGCGTAACGTTAACAAAATCTGGGCCAAGTATTTTCGCGTATATCGAACGGATAAATTGTTTTCTTCGTACCTTTGGAATTTTCCCCGATGGACTTCCGTTAATTAGGATCCGTTTTCACTCCGCTAGGACACTTTCCACCGATAACTCGATTCCCGAAGCGATTCGACAGAGAGAAGTAACGGTAACAGGTCAGATTTTCAACGAGTAAATTGATTACGTTGATCAATCGGTTCCTTCCCAATTACTCGCACCTCTGTAACTCAATTCCCGCAATCCACCGTTCTCTCATCCACGTGCTCACGTTTTCAGGTAACTTGAAATTTGCTCGACGAAGCAAGGACAGTATTGTAATTTTATTTAAATTATCAATACCTGACGATCAAATTATTTTCAGATTTATCAACGTAAAATTATGAATTGCTAGTTGGTAGTAGTAGCAGCTTTAGTCGGCGGCCTTTCTTTAAACATACATCTTCGACGCTACGCGTGACACTGTGCTTTGGGCTCCATTTTACTATCCTTATCCTTAGAGAGAGACCATCTTTCGGAGGAATACCCAGTGTAATTGACATCGCGTCAGTCCGTAAACTGAGGCTGAAGGACAGTAGCGGGTATATACCCTCCTCGCGGAAAACAGCTCCTCCACGGGAAGGCTCCCCATGCCCGTGTTTCGCCGCGTCTCCAATTTTCCAGCCAGCTTTTCTGAACGACGCTAGTGCCACCCCGGGGGCCATGCCAGTCTCCTTTTACTCCCAGAATCCTCCGGTATTTTCCTTTGCTGGCAAATTGGACTATTACGACAGGGCGTCTCCGTACCTCTGCAGCCGTGTTCTCGCGAAAACCGCGTATTTTCTCTCTTTCGTCTGTCCCTCCCTCTTCCCGTGCTCGTCCGTCGGTTCCTCCGTAACCTTTTCCACGTCCCTCGACACAGGTCCTCTTACCTAGCGGCTCAAAGTGGCGCGCAGTTGTTAAAACAACCAATTCTGTCGGAAAGCTGCTCGTTACCGACGCCTCTCGCCCTGGTCCTGGGGATCCTTCGTAATCCTGATGGCAAACGGTTCGGTTTCCTGCTGACGCAACGGAAACCCTGGCCAATAAAATCTGTGTCTCCCTGTAGGACTCAGCACGCATTTTTTGTGAAGATCTTGGAAAGCTCTTTTTGTTATTCCGATTATTCGTTCAGTGGAATAATGTCTTTGTAAATTAACCTCGGAGACTTCCATCGTCGAAGACGCATAGATCGTCAGGAAATGAAAAGATCATCTCTTTATATTTTTTCTGACATAGGTCAGGTACTGGTTCGAAAGAATTAAATATTTTTTCTACAACCAAAGAAATTTATATCGTCTTCACCTTTCCTGTCCGCGATTGTTGTCAGTTTTCAGAGGCTAACTGCAGGTAGGAAGAGATTGCGTGTCCCCGACGGAAATTTTCCGCCATAATTGACTGGTATCTCGTCCGCGTCGAAGAGGAGTTCTATAGAAACGTGTCCGGGACGAGGAGCAGCAATTTAAAATTTAACGGTGGGCGTGGAGGCGGAATCGAGTTTCGGGAAAAGAAAGTCTCCCGTTACCGATTAGCGTTCGAATAGGGGAGGTTGTGGTGGGCACCCTCGATTTCTTGAAATATTTTGACAAGAAATTTAATATCACCTTTCGGGTCGACCCCGGAAAACTCGAGACCACGCGAAATTATACACGATCGCTTGTAATGATCCTTCCTGGCTCCCCTGATGTTATTACTTTTATCTTTTGCACGAAAGTTGCTTATTCTCCGGGCAGTATTCAACGTCGCTTCCACCCTACAATTATTTACACTAGCGTGTAATGGTACATTGAAATTTTAATGCCCCAGAACGATAAAGATGCGGGACGAAACTGCTCTCCAGAACACGTAACGAAATACAAACGCAGCCCCATTAGACGCGAAGGTCATCCACAGTAATCATTTTCAACCTGTCGTCTCTTGTTTCGAGCGACATCGCTTTGCGGGTCAGGCCAGCGGCGCTTAATGGCCTGGAAAAATCGGAATCATCGCGGGAATGAATACGTAATCAGTTTTTCCTCTCATCCTTCGCCGCATGACGTCATCCAGAGCGCTATAGCATCGTCATGACTGACTGAGCGCGCCTTATGAATCGCAATGGGAATCTCTACTCCTTCTACTTTGGCAAACGCTCGATGGAACAGCAATACGATTTAAGTTTCAAATAAAATTGTTCAAATTTCACGTCGATGTAAACTACTTCGAAAAATCTGATCCAACGAAGGAGATCCAATCAGTTGAATTCGACCGTATCGGTTGATACTCTAACAGGAACTCCAAATCCAAATAACTGAAAACGCGAAAGCAGTTGGTTTTCTCGGATTTTCCCATCGATAGACATTTTCGGTTCGCAGTTCGCTAACTTGGCAACTTTACCAGCATTTCTCAGAAGTGCATGATCGTTCGCAGAAGAACCGAGGTCTGCGATAAATATCAAGCATGGCAAGAGTAGACTGCGTCGAAGAGTTCGAGCGAAAAGCGTCGTAACCCCCAGCACGGTCGTTTGCGCGACTTTATGGATCCTTCCCGTAAAATTGTAAAAAGTGATCTTTCGCTTCGATGAAAATAGACAGAATCGAGAGACTCTCTTCTCTTTTGAAACCAACGAAATTGCTTTGTTTGTGGCAAATTTTCGAGGGAGCATTTTTTTTACGAGAACTACACTCTATTAAAGGATAGATTCTTACCTGGACTGGGGTTTGAGAACGAACTCTTGGACTGAGAGAATCCTGAAACAGAGAACGCATCGATCAATAAAATGACTTTCTAAAGATTACGTGCTAGAGGAAATGGAACTTTTACAAAATGAATAAAAAAATAAAATAATCGTAAAAAGACGTAAAAACGGATCGCGTTGGAATTGAAATTTGTAATTGACCACGAAAACATTGCGGCTTATTCTTGGTTGGCATTCCGCGGTCGTAAATTGCGCGCGCAAATATTCATTGCAATAATTATCCGTCGCGAGTTTATAACGAATGCCAGGACCGAAGGACGTCGAAGGAAAAGAGTGAGGAAAAGGTGGAGGGACAGGGAGAGCGTACATTCGCGAAATGAAATTTCATCTAAAAATTAACTAGAATTCTATGAAACCCGCTCCGGAGGGGGTGGCATGCAGTGCGCGGCCTGCCTCGACGCTCGACCCTGATTAACGACTCCGCGAAATTAACTCGACGATTATTTCATTAGCGCCTAGTAAGACATTTTTCATCCAGTCTCAATGGCCGTTGGGATCTAGAGAGAGAGACACGCGTATATATGGGCGGTATAGCACGGCTCGAATGCGCTACCCTTAATGACTCGACGAGAATTAACTGTAATTTAATTAATTAAAATCTCGCGGAAAAAAAAAATACTCACACCGGCCTCTTTCGCGCGGGACTAGACGTGACCCGAGTCGCCTCGTTAGAATGATTATCAGACGAAATCGAGATTCTTTCTGGCTGCGAATCGATGCTGGATCGAACATCGTAGTTGCGGTGTTAAGCGAAATGTAGGCGAAAATTTTCGTTAAAAATAAATTCTGTTCCCTCTTTCACGAAATTTCCACAAAGCATTCAACGGGCTACGAAGAATGAAGCAGCTAAATTAGAAGCAATTGCAGTAACTCGTTTCCTAGGATTGTAAGGTCAAAAGAAAGGTCGATATTTAAAATTCTGTGGCTCGACTACGCCCTTAATAACCAAACCGTCAACGCCATTTCCTGAAAGGCCAACGCGGCAGCCAGTCAGGTACGCGTTTCCTTTCGTGGCTCTGCACGACCCTGGGATGAAAATAAGTTCGCCTATTAAGACGTTTCAGCGGCGGCCTCTTTCTAATAAAGTCGTCCAACGAGAACTGGCGAGGAGGACGCGCCGCGGCGGGGGCTGAAAAACAGGGGTTGAAAAAGATTCCCGCGTTCCTAAGAAGGAAGTTAGGGGCTCGTTCCCGGTCGACGGGGCGACGAAGAGGGAGGAAGAGAGAAGCTGAGTTGGCTCGCGTTTTCAGGAACGCGACCAGGCCCTGGCTGCGACGTTGTAGTTGTAGCTGAGCGGCTGGCGGCCACCGGGGGCGGCGGAACTCCACCCTCAAACGACTTTAACGAGCCGCCGTCTTAAAATGGGGATGCCGGCTTGTGCCGAGTTTGCGCGTTTGTTTGATAAATTAACCCAGAAAAGTGCGCTCCGCCGTCGGAACACTTAACAAGCCTTAGAAGCACCGAGGCCGTGGCAAATCTGGAGCAGGGATTCGTTGATACTCCAGTCGGAGATTAACGGTCGCTCGGGCATGCAGATCTTTGCCCGAGAGTTGGATAGTCGTTTTGCCATCATTTTCTGATTAACTTGACTCACTCGAGATAGTAGATTTTACACATTTATACCCCCCTACAACTGCAACTGAATTTATTTTACCTAATCGAAAAGTATCTAATAAGGAACCGATATATAATTTCCTAATTACTTTCAGTAATTTAGCAGACCTCAAACGGTTAAACGTTGAAGACCGTATCGGTTATGAAAAATGAAAGAAAGCTGCAGAGATCGCGTTAAGGTTAAGCATAATCGCGATCGGAGCGCTGTTCACTTGGAGGTGCAAAGGGAACGCGTGTCACGGGGCATTATATTCCGGTATTATTCCGCTTTTCCTGGGGCTGGTTCCGCCTTTCACGAAATCCCGTGTCCGTCCTTACGGTGAAACTTAAACCCCAATCGCGCACACGGGTGAAAAGGTTTCAGATTTTTTGAAAACCCGACAATAAGGCTGTTGGCCCGCGCCACTGGTGACAAGACAGGGGCCTACCATTGAGAAAAATCCACTTCCTAGGTCTCGTGTTACCCGGCGTATTTTGACAAGATCTCATTGTCGTCGCGCGGCTAAGCCCTATTGACTCCATTATGGCCCTATTAGTATTATACTAGGATTTGTGGTTACTCCTTGAAAGACGTCCTTGCCTGCCCCCTCCCTCGCCGACCTTTTTCTTGCCCCTGAAACCAAACGCTCGGTCCATTCAGGACACGCCACGAAAGTGTCCTGAGCTCGACGAGCAATTTTCTTCGACGCCAAGTCGAGTCAGCTCTGGCATCCATCCTCTCCTAAAATTACTATACTATACTATATTCCTCGTGCCACCGTCCGCAAGACCTGTATTTCCACGCAACCCATATAAATAGAATGTTACTACTTGAACAAACTAGCGAAAAGGACGAGCCGCGATGAAAGGGGTAGGTCGACGGTTGGCTAAAAAACAAGCTCCATCCGTAGATCGGCGTCGCCCAGGGGGTCGAAGAAGATGCTCGTGTAAAACGTCGGTGGGTGGAGGTGTGGGAGAGCGCGCACGCACGCACTCGTGGCTTCGAGAAGCGCTCCGGGCATGAGAGAAAGCTACTACCTTCGTTTTCCAAGTCGCGAGAGCAAGCATCGCGGAATGAGCTGCTACTTAGAGAGAACGGGTGGAAACGCATTCACCGGCACGCAATCAAGGCTCCTCGTGGGCTGCCGCCGCGGCTCCGCGCGTATACACACGCGTGCACACGCGTGTGAACCCGCGCCGGTGCCCATTCATACAGCGACGGGCAAGATTTGCTTCGCGACACCTCTTCGGAGCGAGGAAGCCGACGCGATTCGCGGCACCTAGGGAAAGAGCGAAACGGAGCGAGGCGCAGGGTGACGGTGGCAAGGGAGAGTAGAGCAAGAAACCGGGGAGTGCAGAACGTGGTGTGTGTATGTGTTTGTGTGTATGAGGCAGAGAGAGAGGGAGAGGGAAAACGGAGGACTACGGCGCGCGTACCGTGTGTTTGAGGCGTGAATTCATGTATGCTCGCGAAGCACTCTTCACAGGGGACAATCGAGGTGTTGGACTGGAAATCCATACCAATTTAAGCGACTTACGGTCGTTCGCTTGAAAGCCCTGTACACGCCACCGACGGTACACACGCGCGTCGCGCACTCGCACGACGATACGCGAGTCACGTCTACACGCGCGCGTTTACGCGCGCTGCCAGGCCTGAGCGCGATAGGATACGTGAGCCTAGGTCATTTTTGGTTTGATTTGGGATGATAATGATTTGGAGACTTTCGAGGGATCCAACTGTGCTTAGCAGAGTCAAAGATTGCTTATCATTTCTCGTTGATAGTTGAGGAGTTAATGTGGAGGCTCGTTTTCAATGATCCCTCGACTATGCTTGTTCAGCTATAAGTTTTTTTTCTATGGCAACTCATTTGACGTCACGTTCGGTTAACGTCGAAGACAGTTTCGGCCCAACCGTGTTCAGCATAAAATCTCGCGACCAATCCAGATGAATAAACACATTATCGTCATCCTCGAGCGAAGCGCAAGCAAAGCCAGTGTATAAAAAGGGTGTCGAGGATGCATCAACGTCCCATTCGCGATTCACACGTCCCATTTACGACTTGCGTTTCTTTAAACCTCCATTTAGCGTTTGAGTTTTAAACTTTCATTCCGTAATTCCGCAGGCAAATAGCCATCAAGGATTTATTTATATTCTCGCTGTAAATTCAACCGGTCGCCGTGAATCGATACTAGAGAATGGGGAAGAATTACAGAGTACCACCGTGACGTTGCTAGATTTGCACTGGAATTCCTAAAGGGACCTCCGCGGGTGACAAAAGGGGCTCGTCGAGGAGCACTGTATTCGCCTCCTACTTTCCACCCGGAGTGTGAAATTAGTTGCATGCACGGAGGAGGAAAGGAACGTGATGCAGCATAGAGCGGAGTCCGCGTAAGCGACTCCAAGCTGAAGAGGCCGCACCGTATTTTCAATTTACTCTGACCCACTGACGCACTGCGTCGCTCGAACCTAACCACCGTCGAGCCTCGATACAATCCTGCAATTAATTCTCCGATGTCCCTGACATTCGATCCAACTGCGAGTCACCGTCCCCCGCGTATCATCGACAACTTCGATTACGCTCAATTTCCCATTGATTTCACAAATCCTCAGATACCGCCAAAGCTCAGAGACTCTGAGGAATAGGGTAACGTTAAGTAGTAAAACTACTTCCGTTCTTCGAGTTGGCCCAGTGTTTGGAGCCCTGAGGGGTTGGAACGAGTGTCAGCTCGAGGGACACTGGTGTACCTAGCAGAAACTTTCAGGGTGCACTGTACGCGCGCACGGGGCCGCGGTAATGGACATAGTTTGCCGGTAATGTCCGAGACTAATTCCCGTGTTATTTCATTAACGTCCCGCAGGCTCCCGAGGGGTTAGGCAGCCACGTCGGCCGCCACCATTGCCGTAACGCAGCACCACCAGCTACAACGGCGGTCGGGTTCGAGCGTGGCTCCCGAAGGGGCTTGTATTAGGCGCGTGTCAAAGGGTGAAAATTTACGAGGTGAGTAGCAGGCGCGAAAAGGCCGATTGATAGTCGCCTACCTACGCATGTACGCGCACACGCCGCCTTCGACTAATGCCGCGCGAGTTTACGCTATGGTGAAACATGCTTACCCAGCCTGTTAGCGCGCATGACTTCTACCGGGGGAGGTAGATCGATACCGTTTGTCTGTCGATAATCGTGCCTGTCGACGGATTTTCCGCTCCTCGTGGTGCAGCGCTCCGCGAAATTAAATAATTGAGCAACGATCACACCTGGGCGATAGAAACGCGGCTTTCGTTCTCCGCGTCTTGTTACTCGTCGTTTGAATCCATTCTGTGCTGGATTCTTCGCCCTTCTCTCAGATATGTTCATTTTTCTTTACCGAGACTAGACTTTTTGAGAATAGATATCATTATCG